GGAATTGATTCAAAACATATTACATCAATGAAGAAATTCAACACATATGATACAAAGAGAAACTAATCGTCATTTTCGCACCAAAAATTAAGTGAGGAAAATAATCGTTGACGACACATTAGCGATACCAAGATGATCTTGTTTCGAATCGAAGGTAGACGATTATGTGTTTTCGAATCCACAATAACAGCCGGATTTCCAATATCTATTACGATAACATGATAACAATTCTCGTAATTTAGATAAATCTCCTTCCTTGATTGCCGTTGTCAATTTTGTTGCGAGTTAGCTTCAATGAAGCCGCCGTTGAACACATTTGAACTGCAAAACTTAAATCAAATAGATAGCCAAAATTGATTATAAACTAAAGCAAACTATAGATTTTCTACTAAGGAAAAAACCTCAACTAAAACTTTCACCCAAAAAAACTAAACTCAATCAAGGAAATCACAATAACTCATAGAAACCAGACTGCAAATAATATCGCCTCGTCTTCTGCCCAAAATCTCCTAAACATCTTTTATACTTTATATCGAGCGTAGAAACTCTATTAGTCTACAACCATTTCCCTCTCACGATGTCGGCAAAAACACCGGACATCGGAGAGCAAATTTGGTAGTTATCATACTCATATTAAAAAAAAAATTTAGGGTGAATTTGACAACAAACCATATTGAGCTCCATAATTAACAATATAGTTATGCTAATGAACTATTTTGGCAAATAACCATTTGACTTGTTGAATTGTCAAGTTTGTCCTTATCAAACGTGAACTTAGAAACTAAGAGCGATATGTCACCGCTATCGTCACCACGGAGGACCATGGCGATAGAAAATTTGCAACAGAGGTAGAAGTGAAGTCTCTCCCTCAGCTAGCAGCGCGAACAGCCACCGACGGGCTTGATTATGGTGGTTAGAATCATGGAACCGATCCCTTTCTCAACAGAAATATCAACAAGGACTAGGTGGTATGGATATAGTACCATCAATGTCTCCGTCGGAGAAGGCCTCCCTCCACTTCCGGTCTTCGTCAGAGAATCACTTCTAAGATCATGCCGGAGGCAAAAACGACGAAGAAAAAATGAATGAGATTTTAAGGACAAAAGTGTCAATTATACATGTTACACCTTTCATATCCTAAAAAATATAATTATACTAGTGAAAATCAACGCGTTGTGCGGAACAACTATTTAGATGATTTTTAAAACTATTTTAATATTATCTATATATATATATATCCTAACATTGATATACTTAAATGATGTTTAAGATTTATGCTCATAATTTCTATTTATACAAATTCAAACATAATTTTTAAATGTTTAATATGAAAGTGAACCATATGATGATATATATAAATATTTTTATTTGAATACTATATTTTCAATTTTTCTCTAGAATTCAACGTATTCTTTTAGAATCTTTTCGGTATACTCCGTGTCCACTATTGTAAAAAAAAATGTTGAGTCCACACGTGACCGGAAAGATAAAACTTAAAAAGTGAAATATGCAATAATTTATAGATAAACACATGTAAAAAATTAGTGAAATTTAAATGCTTTTTAAATTGATTG